AGTAAAAGGTTTTAATTATATAATTTTTTTATTGGACACAGTAACTTTTTAAACAATTAATACAACGCATCACACATGTGTTCAATGGGATTGACGTTTGGAGACAATGGGGGAAAGGGCAGGTGGGAAATTCCCAGGTTTCTAAACATTGACGAGCATCTCTGGCTCTATGAGGTCAGTTCGTCCTCCAGTGTAAATCCCAGCTCAGACCATTACACCGCCTTCTCCATACTGCACTGAAGGGAGCACGAACTGGGGCATTGTACACATCCCCTATTCTCGGTAGATTCTTCGGCGCCTGCTATCACTATACAGACAGAAATATAACTCATTAATAAACACAGCATTCCAATTGGTGTTCTCTTCTAGGCGCTCGCTGCACCATATTCGGCGGGCTGTTGCAGTACTTCTTCTCAAAGGGGCATACGACGTAAGGCCAACTTCCCTGATTGATAAAGACTTGCCAAAACATCTTGTACTTCATTTAGGATCTGGCGGACACTATGGAATGGGTTCCGTCTTACAGCAATGACAATATTTCTGTCCTTCCTTAGAGTCGTAATGCACTGAAATCCACTACCAGCTCTCCTGTTGGCACTTCCAGTCTCTCGGAATCGGGCTGAAGCCCGGGAGAGCTTGCTCTGGGAAGCGCCTAGTCTCTCCACTTGCGGTGTCCTCAGTTAAGAGTTGAAGGAACTGCCCCAGCTCACTCTGCATTACGAGTTCATATAAACCCGGCGCTTATCTTAAACAGCGCGTATTTCTCCCCGTTCTTCGGACGTACGACATCCTTCTGACGATTCTCTCGCCTTTTCTGTTCTGTAATATTCTTTGTACGTTTTAAAGTAAATAAATCTTTTTTTAAAAACGGCCTTTGGTGTTCCAAACTTATAACTCTAGATAACTCATTTCCACAATAATATTTTGAACTTCTGGTTCAAGATGATGTCTTTCCATGGTTAAAAAAATGAGAGAAGACGAGAAAGTGTTTGTGTACAAAATGAGTAATCTTCATGTTTACTATTCTTAAATACATACGTAATTAACCATGTCGATTAACACATTGGATTGTTTGCTTTTGGTTTGTACTTTCTATTTTGTTTTATCCAACTACCAAGAATATATGGGTTAATTAATTAAAGTTAATAGAATAAGAATACATGACGAACATCACTAATTATCTTTGAGCAGTTTATTTCAAGAAAACAAATTTGCAAGTCAGTCTGCTTTTATCTTACCTATTTTTCCATTCTAGTAAATCTTGTTTAACCTAATTCATTTTTAATATATTAAAGGTGGATCAATCTTCCTGAATCATATAAATGTTGATTTTCAATGTTTCTTAGCAGCGTTTGCTGCAGTCGATAGCCGTTAACACTATTCTTTCCAAAAAGGGTGTATGGCATGGCGCGATAAGGATATTGGAAAAGGGCGTGCGTTCCAATAGGTCATTAGTTCTGTCCCTTTCCGCCCCCTGTTACCGGTCCGCCCCTCTTTCTAACATGGCACAGCCAAATCAACTTTTTTTTCAAACTTGCTGGTTTACACCTTGGTTCATTGAATCGAAGGCATTCTCCCCTTTTCTTTATAATTGTTTATCGATTTTAGAAAGTATAAATTATTTCACTCCGCTACCTGAGGGGTAGGTGAGTGTTTGGTCAAAGTATTTGTGATCGAACAAACATCTAACTTGGTCTGTGACAGAATAGTACGTTTAAATTTTCAAACCTCGATGACTTAACAAAATATTTCATTTTATCGAGGTAATAATATTTTGTTTTATAATATCTCTTCATCATTAATGTTGGACTTGCGAGATGAAAAAATACTTTTCAAATCATCAACCACCCTGGGAAATTCATTGCATTAAAGATTTGGTAAAGGATTACCGATGATCTGAGTAGGGCCTTAATTGATAGGAGAGCAAACACCACAGGGGTTCTGATGAAAAGAGGAGAGAGCAATTGGATGAAAGCCAGAAAAGCACTGTTCTTCGCCCGGCTAAATATACATCAATCTTTTGGAAGGACATTAGAGGCAACATATTGAATTCTTACTTTTTCCGTTAATTAGACAAAGTGCAATATTGAATATAAGCGCATTAATTCCATAGTTGACATTCGAGGTTGTCCTACGGATTGGAAGCATAAATCAACTTGTTTGGTTAACAACAAAATTAAATTAAAAGAAGTTCGTTGTTGTATGCCTTCTCTTTCGTAAAATAATACGAATATTAAAACAGACACAAATAAAGAAACAAAATATTTTATTGTCTTGTATTGCAATATGTATCTTTAATATTTCTTTTTGTAATTTGAAGAAAAGAGCACTCGAGCATTGTATAGATTCTTTTTGTCTAATACTATGTTGTATTGTAACATTATAAACGTTGAGATGTAATCTTTTAAATGCCTTTACAAATAAAACATTAAATACATTAAATAACAGCACTATTCACTTTCCTCACTAGGAAGTAGTCCTCAACTGGGAGGTTGGGATGAGGGTATAGGGTTTTATGTTGGCGTCTGTATCGACTTCTTAAGGTTTCGAGATCAAAGGGGATTTGAAGGTCTGTATGGATAGTAAGGTTGGATACGAAGTACGGAGCATTCATAGGATAAGAGTTCATAGGATTTTTCACTGGAGTGACTGGAACGCTCGGTTTATTTCCCCAGTTCTACTTCGTACGTCAAAATTGGTTGAAGTAATGTGTAGATGAGGCGATTGTTTGTTGTGAGATTTACGATCTGTTCTCAAGTAGTCGTTTGAGCAGTTTATATCATCTGTCCAGTTCTATAATTTTGAGTCTTGCGTGGGGGATCCATGTAAGTCTTTTGTCGATGTAAAGTCCCAAATGGCGGATGAAATTGGTTGATGCGAGACGAACAGAGTTAAAAGAGGTGATACGGCGAAGGGTGAAATAAACTGTTCCAAAGAGGAGAGATGATCCTGAAGATTTTTGAAGGCCACTACTGGGTCTAGGCATGCTGAAAGGATGGCGGTATCGTCTGTATATGTGAGGAGTTGTTTATCATAGTAGTTAGGATTGTATACTGAATAAATAAAGGACACTGGTTGGACATGGATACTGGTTGGAAATCGTATGTAATGGATCGGGGAGAAGGGTGTCCTGATTCGTACTTGAAACTATCTATCGGACAGATAGGATTTTAGGATGAGGTAATAAGTCAATGGAAGGATGCACTTGAGTTTCTGGAGCCTGGTAACCACACTCAACCGAAGGCTTGTCGAATTACTAAGTAAGCGACTAACAGCATTCCTACCGCTTAATAGAGGATATGATGATGTTTCTGTGACTCTGATGAATGTTAGAAGGTAGCTGGAACCCGAACTGATGGGGTTAAACGTCTTGTAGCAATTTTTGGCTGCTACAAGAACATATTGGTTATTAAGATCATAGTGCATGGTAAGACTGGATATCTAGAAAGGATCATGGACGATGATTCGGAGGATTTGGGATTGTAAGGAGTTGGAACGGTTGATGCATCGGAGGTTAGAAAGTTTGGTTGAACGCCAAATTGTCCAAATGGGTCTCAGAATGGTGATATATGTGTATATGTCGTTTGTTTTGTAGAGTCAGTTTTGATTGTTTGTCCAGCACTCTTTTAAGAAGTCTAAAGCATCTGTTGAGTTTTTATATTTTGGGTTGCGTGTGTGGGATCCACGTAATTCGGTTGTCACTGTATTGCCCAAGGGGGTGGACTACATTAGGTGATGGGAGCAATGAATATTCTTTGAAGGTTGGATGTAACTCTGCAAAAATCATTCGACAGTTTTATTGCTTATCCCATCAATAGAAATTTTCCCTCATCCGAATGATTCCGAAGTCTAAAAATCCTTATAAATTTCCATCATCCGACCGTTCTCTGTACTCTGTACTCTTTCGTCAATTAGGTAAAACGTTAAATCCGAATTTAAAATTCTGTTTACTAACTGAACCTACCGCAAGCAATACTACCTTGGTTTCTTTCTATAGCAGTTGGTTGATCTTCCCATTCCCTCCATAAATTTTACCTTCAGTTCCTCTGAACTAGTTCTAGCTCTTCTGATCTCCATCTCCCTAAACCCAGAACTAGTGCGTTCAGTCGTCCCTTCCTCATCCTCTCTCATCTCATGCCTTCAGCCTGTGAAATTCCTTTCTTCACTCTATCGGCCGAGCTCCATTTTTCCATTTTTAAATAACGTTTCTTTAATAACTCTTGTCTAGCACCGATGATTTTAAATTGCCCCTTTAGTCCAATTTCCATAGTAGATTATTTTCTAATTATATGTATATATATTTTAGACTTCTTTGCCTTATCTTTATTGAATCTCTGTCAATATATTTTATCAATAACTAGTCATTCAATGGGGTCTTTAAGTCCCAAAATAAAGTTTTAAAAAATTTTCAATTTCAATCTGTAAATAAAATTTCATGAGAAAAGAGAAATTATACGTCCTTACTTGATAAACCATAAATTAAATTTATTTTTATAACATCTATTTTAGCATGATTTTTGTAATATAAGTCTAGATTAAATTCAGTCGTGATGGTGAATTTCCATAATAAAATATGTGTTAGGAAAGTTTCTCGAAACTATTTTTTCATCCCCTAAATATATTATGTTTGCCCTTTTGATCTTACCTTGTGAAGATCCACCTTAAAAGCGGAGTGCTTATTTTTCTTTGAATTACTGCTGGAGTGGAAAATCCTGAATTATACAACAAAGAGGGTGTCTAGACATGAACGATGTTACATACCCTCTTTCGTTTCTGAATAAACTGCGTCAGTTGGAAATTCATTAATGATTTGTTGCTTAAGTGTTAAGCTTAAATGTGTTAAGTTACACAACTGAAAATTATTTTATTAATCTTGCACAAAAATATGTTCAATAGACTGGGCGTCGAACGTTTGGAGCGTTGAAATCACGTTGACTCAGTGGGTTCGAACCTTGGTGTTCCTGAATTTCCAGAGTAGACTTACAAATAGATTTTTTTGTAAAAAAAACACAGGAATTCTGGGGTCGATATGGCTTCTGTTGTTGCGAATCCTATAAAAAAGAAAAAAAATGGAATGTCAGGTGATATTCCATGATATTGGTTGGTGATTATGCTTTTAACATTGATTCTCATATATTTAAGTTTTCAAGACAAATAAATTAATATTCTTAAAATAATATTATTACACTATGGCAATTATTCAAATAGATGAAGCATCAGTGAAATTTATTGTGTAGTGTTAAAGTTAGAACGAGGTCATTAGAGTTAAATTAACTAAAGCCTGCGAATAGCCCTTGTAATACCGCAAAACTGTGTTTGCATAACTTTCAATCAACGGACTAGAAAGCTTTTCATCGACAAAACTAGTAATGCGGCATGTGCCTAAGCCGCAATTTGGCCATAAAAGATTTTCTTCTTTTACGTGGCACCCGTATTTGGCTGGCGTTTTTAACACAGTGGTAAAAATTTAAAGCTTTCTATGATTTACCCTTGAACTTTCCAGCCCAACGTCTAAATTTCGGTTATTGCAATTCGTGAACTTGTTAGGTTTTCACGCGATTTGGAACTGTTTTCCTCGTGAAACACCGACTCGGGAAATTAAGAAGCGAAATGTATACAATGGTCGTTGAATTTTCCTTGAGATTAAGTTACTTTGTTGAATATAATCCGTGCCACTGTGTGAAGCAGGCGACATGCCGACATTTATAAACCGTATCTAATTCTATTCTTTCTACTGCCTCACATTGAATTTATATTCGCACATATTTAACGAGAAATTTCCGTATAAATGGTAAAACTAGAGTAGCGTTTTCAGAGGTGGAAAGGAGGTTGTAATTTGAGGGCGCTTGATATGTAGAGTATCTGCGAAACTTAATTAAGCTTTAGCTTTGTAATTAGAAATTCGGGACATCGATTTCATGAAAACGTCTTTGCGATCTGCAAGGAGTGATATTATTGTTATAACGCAAATTCTTAAATAAAATAGTTCTCAGTTGTTTAATTATAGATGTAATGAAGGTTAGGACAGTTTAACGAACTTAAATAACTTTCTTGTTAATGTTAACTTTTTTCAAAATATTGTAAACAAATCTAATATACTGTTGAACGCTTAAAGTAGCCTGCTTGTTGGATAGCTAATTCAAATGTCACTTGAATTTCGGTATGAATTCCTAACTAATACTGACAAGTTGAGATAACATTATGTATGGTATGTATACTGTAACACATATTCCGTTGTAACAAATATTCTAAGTAATAAATATATAATATACCGTGTGAAATTTTATAAAAGTCATGGCCTTTTATTTTTACGCTGCCTATTTTATTGTAAAACTATGATAAAAGGTTGGTGGTGATGAAAATAGTTACAAAGGTAATTTTTCAAGTAGAATCTGCTGGTCCTATTAGAGTTTTAATAAGTTGACGCGTTAAGCCTTTTTTTAAATTTGGAAAATTTACCCACGATACCACAAAAATTCATCAAATTGTTCAGGAGATATTGAAGTTTTTCTTCAGAGCTCGATAATTTCAATTTATCATCAAAGCTAGGCTTAAAAAAAGTCAACACAAATTAAATTTTCATCTTTTATTCCATTAAATTTTCAATTTTCTCTTTTTTTAAACCAGGCATCGTAAAAATGTAAGGCCACGTCTTTTATAAAAACTCATATGGTATAAATAAATATAGAAAGTGAAAACAATGTTTATATTTCTTAATAAGTTTATTTGGAGATCGTGAGATGCGGTCTGGCGTGAAGTAGGATTTAGAAAAACATTTTCTTTATCGTGCCAATGTTTCGATCTTTATTGAGTTCATCTTCAGGGCTTGTGTTTGTTTTCTGTGTACATGTGTCATTATTGTGTATCGTGTTGAGAGTGCCCTGAAGATGATCTCAATAAAGATTGAAACCTTGGTACGATAAACAAAATGTTTTTCTAAAACCTACGTCCCACCAGACCGCATCTCACGATCTCCAAATAATCATTAACTAACGGTCACTAATCCCCACACATTTCTTAATAAGATGGAGCTTCTGTAATGATCCGTAAGACTGACTCGGTTCTGAGTAACTTCGAATTTTTTTGATATGGGATTTTGCTGCTGTCTCCCCTGTAATACCACATTGGTTGGGAGTTGTAACAATTACAATCAAATAAAAAAAAATATATATATAAAAATCACAATTGAAATGTGCGGTCGGTAATATTGAACATCTTGAAACATCTTATAGCTTAGCCCTCTCAGGTCTGGTCGAATTATAAAATTTGATGTTTTAAAAGCTTACTTTTGTCAGACATTGTCAATACAAAAAATTATAAACAACGTGTAAAATTATTAATATATGAAACAATCAAATTATAAATTTTAGCAAAGATTAACCGATATGTTATGTATCATTTTATAATTTTATATTAAAAAAGATTTAAAAAACGGGCGTAAAGCTAATCAGAAAAACAAAAACAGTCAGTTCCTTAGCAGAACATTCGAGTTATATATACTCCCGTTATCAGAATTTGGGAATTTAATTGATAATTTATTGGTTTAATATTTTTGTTCTAGGACGGACGGATCATGTTTGATCTCGTTCTTCTGTAAATAAATTCGTCCCAATATACTACAAACCGAACGTTTCAATATTTAAGTAAATGTTCATATTTGTTAACGAACTGAATTATCAATTAAAATTTCAAAGTCCTGATAAAAGGGTTTTATTAAGTGGTGTTTTCTTTTCAATCAGCCATAATTATCTTTAATGTTTGTTTAATATAAAATTATAATATTGCAGGGTGATACTAATCATAACGGAGATGTATAATTTTGACGTTCATTGAACATTAATTTATTATAATAATTTAGTTCCAACGATTCTTAAAATTGTTTAATTGATAAAGAATTGAAAAAACAAACAAAAACAAAGAATAATCAGTTTGAATAACAATCAGGCATCAGTAAAAAAATGTTATTACTGCAAACTTGATAAGGACTATAAATATTTAGATACGAGCATTAAAAGCGTTCAATTTGTTAAAAAATTGATTGAAATTGGGCTAAATTTAATCACAGTCAGTTGGTCAGTCACAACGCAACTTACATGTTGAGTTAACGTATTTATTAATTATTTTATTTTTGAACTCTCATATACCTGCACAATTACTAAATAATAAATAATTCATTATTAATATAATTGTATGTACTCTAAACTTTATATATATAAAATATGTTGAACTGAGATGACAGTACTGATGATGACAAGATAAATATAAATTCTTTCAATTAATTAATCTGCATATAAGGTATTGGTTGAAAATAAAAAAGCCAATGCCACGAGTGGGATTCGAACCCACGACCTTCGGCTGTTCGAATCCCGCTCATGGCACTGGCTTTTTTATTTCAACCAATACCTTACATAAAGGTTAATTAATTGAAAGAAGGTATTTAGCCAATTGGACCACGAAACATGATGGATTCAATAAATATAAATTAACTCAATAAATATAAATTGGCAAAAAATTGTAATTGTATTCAACAGCACTCTTGTACTATTCTAATCTAAAACAAAATCAGCTATTTTATAACCTGTACCTAAAGCTATGAGATAGGGTAAACCTAATTTTTTAAATACTTACAATTTAGCTTTAAAGAATTTTATTATTTCACATACCAATCAAAAATTACGTTGTTTAAAAAAGTAATGAACGTAACGAGATAGCATAACTAACTATACATAATGAAATAAAAGACAAGAAACTCATAAGTATGCAATCAGTCGGCCAATCAGTATGCCAGCATCTGAGTTTTGTCATTTCAGACGGGATTGTTGCTTGCAAACAAAGCTTTCTGAATTAGTTACATGTCAACATTGAATATTTATAGGGTCCAGGGTATCCCAGACGGTTAGGTTATGACAAATCTCGCCTTTCATAAAATTTATAGTTGATTTTGAGGAAATAAAACGTTACAGTTGATCGAATTCCGTGGTTGTTCACATTTTAAAGAACCATGCGGTGTAGTAACATTAGTGTTAATTTGAATAATTTCGAGAAAATAGAATTACTGATTTACTATAACTACAATGTAAAATAGTATTTTATTTTTAGAAATATGAATTTTGCGTTTCTTACTTCGTTAAAATTGAAAAAATACTGTATAAGAATATGTTGTTTTAGCATCTCCAGTCTTCAAAGATCTTCTATCTTTAATTCTCAATTAATTATCAAGAAAAGTGTAATACTCAAATTTTTTGTTGGGTTTAGTGGATTATACTGATCGCTGTTAAGTATCAAAGTTGTTTGAATATTCCTAAGGTGACTTTGTAAATATGTAAATATGTAAACAATCAGAAATCGTGCTTGTATCTTGAATGGTTCATTAAGAAAAAAATATTTCTTTTAGGCGAAGAATAGGAAAGTTGTCATGGATATATAAGGTGATGCGGTTAAAAAGAGGCGATATGTAACGTGACAGGATTTGATATGTACCTGGAGGATTAGGGTTTATAATTAAGGGCCGAGGAGGGACACCAAAGCGACCTGGACGAGGGGATATTTCCTTCTGTTCCGTTGGTAGGGCCGTACGGGTCAATACGGGTACTCGTGGAGGGGGTTCGAGGCTGAGGCAGTGTTATCCGTAACTTGGCGGCAGAGCGTTGTGTCGAAGTTTTCTCGTGAGAAGGGAGAAATGTGAGCAGTTCAAATGGAGCTTTGGCTTGTCATCAACCTCCTCTCGATCGGTAAGTTGAAATCGGCCGGAGTGCCGGTATGCATGCCTGATCTTGCGTGGGTGGGTGCACCGGAGCTAAAAATCCTCGTCGGTCACGTCCCCCGGAGGGCCATATCAAGAAGGCGTGTTGCAAGAAGTGAAACACCTACCATATCTGGAAACGAGGTTCGAGTGAAAGGACACCGCGTGACATCCCAGGCGAAACTGGTCAAATATGTCTTAAACGCGGGGGAGTCTCCTTGCTCCAAGAATAGAACTTCTTTTTGACATCTGTCACTTACCGCCAGTTCTACCCGTGAAACATGTCATCTAGAAGCTGCATTGCAGCCCATAGCACATAGGCTCATGTTCAAATATTGGCAGACGAAATAACTCACTGCCTGCCCTGCCTGCTTGACCATCCTGCCTGTCTTTCGTAGTTATAATATACCTCTGTTGTTTTCTGTCACTACTATCATTTTTTTTAATACGTTGATATACAGCAAGTTAAAGATACTAAAATAAAAGTACCTATAGATGGACAACCTACTATACATTCATAGTTGGATAGCATAGTTATTGCACCTATCTGAACGTATGTGCATCGATATATTCACGTCTTATTGTTATATCAATATCTTGATTATAATCAACAGAAGTCGTACAAATTCTTTGTATGCCAGTGATTTTTCCATTAAGGTGATACACAAGGAAGCTTTGGACCTCCCATATAACTAATAATTGTACTAACACTCCTTAAACCTCTAATATTAAAATTATGAAATCAATCTCATCATAAAGACGCAGGATTGTGAGAAAAATCATATTGATATGCCACAATTATCCACAAAAAATTTCTCCTCAATTTTGCCGTTTGCTTTCGTTAACTGTTGCTTTTATCATAACACATTACATTTGAAAAACATATCTTCCCAAAATGTATTCAGCCATTTGTTTTCTTATTTTAAACAATTAAAACGATTCAAATAAAATGTATAACTTTGTTTGATGTTGTTTGTTAATTTGTACGCTGTTGCGTTATCTTGCATAACTGGCAGTAGATTATATATATGTATTTTTTCAAACATTAAGTCTAGTATTTTATTTGTTTTAGGGAAGGATAAATGTCCAGTAAAAATAAAAATAGTACGCTAAGTCGAATTAGTGCATAAGTATGCTCACTACAGTTAGATATGAATCACCACTAGCTTTATCTATAGCAGTATTGCAATATTTCTATTTCTAAGGGTGTATATAATAATAATACTATATTATGTAAATAATATAGTATATAGTATAAATATATATAGTAATAGTATATATAGTAATAACAATGTATATAATACAATCTAATCGTTAAAAATTGACATTAAACAATTTACGATTTAAAACGTTACAATTACTGTTGCATTATCATAAAATAAATAGAACAAAACTAAATGGCCTCCAGGTTCTTTCAATTCTTGTAATACTGCAAGGAGGGGTTTCAGAGCAACCCCAAAATATGTTATTAATAGGAAACAACGTCCCAGTTTGTACCCGTTTTATTCCGAGGGGGTGAGCGCCCTTTACAACTTGCAAACTTCGGGGATTGTCAAAGGATTTTATATTCGCGAACTAATCCAATCTATTAAAGATTTAAACGCCTTTGTAATTCGGTTTTGATCATGTGATTTATGCCGGTTTCGAAATGCTTTTCGTTTTGGGAGGGTTTGAGGGGAAAAGGAGCGGAAGTTTATGAAAGAAAAGAGACCATCCCCATATATTATGACCTGCCAGAATTGTCTTTAAGTTTAACGAAAATTCTTTTTAAACTGTTTCCCTTGTAGCCGATGTAATCCGTAGCATGTCAAAGTATGTAATAAATCACAAAAAAGAACAATTTAATGCTAAAACGTGTAAAAAGTAAGACGGGCAGAAAACAACGTAAATAATCGTTTGGCGTGTCTTTATTTTCATGTTTAAAGAAAGTTCACAATTGTAGAACAGTTAGAGTAATAAGGCCTTGTGTGGTCAAAAGTCAGTCTAAATAAAATATATACAGAACTTTATTTTTACATTTAATACTAGATTTTATAGGTATATTACAAGCGAAATGTAAACTTGGTCAAAGCGGTATAAAAAATGAACAATCAAAAACACAATACACGCAATTAATATATATAATTTTCCAATATATGCATATATTGCTTATACTTGCTTATACTCTTGACTTATTGTCATCTGACTGTTCTCTTTTACTGAAAATGGTAGAATTTTTTGAATAAAAGATATATATATAATATGACCTTGAAAAAAAAAAAAAAAAAGATCCAAGCAAAAGGAAGTCCGATTATTGATACATATTTTTGTAAATAGTGGGCTTTCTTGTTGAGATCTGAAAGTTGGTCGTTCCCGATCATTCTCGACTTCCTATACTCTCTTTCAACCGTATCTTGCCTCTGACGACTGCGTCTGACAGATTTTTTAATGTTAGATTATCTACTTCTTCAAAAAGATTGGGTTAAATTTAATTTTTTCTCAAGCTCTGAACATATTATATTGTATGTACCAAAATAACAAACTGTACGCTATAAATGGTAGTATATTAAAAAAATGGACTGGATAAGCCAGTTCTTCGTAATTTTTGCACGTACATACTACATATAACGTATATTTAAAAAAAAACTATAATACGTTAAATCGAATATAAATTAACCTTTTAAACTAAAGAATACTTGGAAAATGGAAAAACAGAACAGAAGCAAAAGGACGACCACTGTACTGAATAGATTATTGATACATATATATTTTTGAATCGTAGAATTTCTTGTTGAGATCTGAAGGTAGAGCGTTTTCGATCTTCTTGGACTTCTTATTCTTCCTGACAGCAACTTTAGTCTTGCCTAACCCTCCTTATTACCCTGACTAAGCACAGAAGATTGTGAAATGCCCAACTATACCTGGCAGATTATTTAAAGTTAGATTTGCTAAAATTTATTCTACTCAGCTAAATTTAGTCATATTACATAGTCTTAACGACTTTTCTTTGTAGTTAATGTATCGATAATATATTATACAAAAAAAAAAAAAAAAGAGATGGAAAGGAAGTGCAAGTACTTCTTAATCTTTACATAAGCATATCACAATATTATATATATATATATATATATATATATATATATTCTAAACTGGACTATATATAAGTTGAAGAGAAACAAGATGGGAAACTCGAAGCATGAGTACTTGCTAATGTACTCAATTCGGAATTATTATTAATATTATTCATGGAAAAATTGATGACTTGCGAAGTTTGTGCAAGCTGCTAACGTGGCCCGGTGATAAGATTCAAAGGCAGCCGTGGTTTGGTTTTAATCAAAGCGGATATGATTCAAAAGCGCGTTAGTGGGACTTTAGATCAAGTGAACCGCAAACCTTAGATACCTCACAACGTAAACTGACCGAACATAACTGGGTCCGGTTCTAAATGTATTTTCGTCTATTTCCTTCACACTAGTGTAACTAGGAATATAAGATGAAAAGGTTCCGGCAGAAACGAGAATGGCGGGCTCTTTGGCCTTAAATCCGTTTTCCTCTGGATATTGCGTTGGTTAGTATGTACCAACACGTTTTACAAAGAGATGAAAATTTATTTTTCTTTTGTAATACTTAAGATTTCGACAAAGGTTTATTTCTATTATCACAATTAAAACACTAAAATTAAAAGGAGGTTGGTAAACAGAGAGATTTAATAGAAAAAGAAAAAAATATTCATTTAGTTGTAACATAAGTTTTTTAGCTAGAGTCAACATTACAAGTTTTTTTTATTGTGCATATAAAAATATGTTTTAGTATACAAACTTAAATTACATAATAATGTATTTCACTTTTCCATGTTACAGTTCAATTTATCGTGTTGAAGTAACAGTGAAATACAAATTGAGGCGTATGAATATATGATTTCTCCCCTTCTACGTTCTGAGTGAAATGTTAAAAATTCATGTCATCAATCACCGAGGCAAAATTAACGTTAAAATTTTCAATGTTTGAATATACGTAATTTTGCAAATTTCCTGGTGTCTTTTCGCTCTTAGCGTGTTAAGTAAAGTATTCCATGTTATGTTAATATTGTTGCTTAAAGTTGAAGTTATTGTTTAAGAAATTTGTCTTAAAATCACTAGTAATTATTAGAGAATAGGGTTACATCAGATATTTCTGCTTTAATAGTTATTAATTCGACCTACCACAGGTTCCTGAGGGTTCAATTATTACTGTCGGGCCACACTTATGGAGAGGGGCGTTTTTTATTCGTCGACCCAACCCTTCTGTTGAACACCGTATCCGATATAAAAAAAGTGTTGGGTTTAACCCATTTTATAAAGCGTATCGCTGAACGGGGTATTTGAAGTTACGTCAAAGCTAGTAAACGGAAGGGCTTATCCTACAGTTTTTCTCTAATCTCGGCGGTTAAACTTTCTTAGGGGGGGGGACCCAACTAAGGGAAAGAATGGCACAATAAAGGATCAAACAGGACGGAACGGGTCCTTAGGGACAGTACTCTTCCTTAGATATGTAGGCGGTGGAACTCAATTTCAGAGTCGGTCGTCCGAGCTAATTATTTTTATTCAAATCGATGTACTTTATAGCCCATTCAATTTAGAAGAATTTTAGCTTATTATTTAGAATTAAAAAAATGTAAATTATCTTTGTTTTTAAGAAATATGCAAAGTGTACTTAAGATATTGTTATATGATAAAAGCATTCCAAATAAAATTAGAGCCTGTAATGCTCATCTAGAAAGTGAAAAACGTGTTATACGTAATCTCGGTTCCAGAATGACAATGAAAAGGGATGTGAAACAACACGTCGCACTTTTACTGAATAATGGCCTTAATGAGGGCGGTTGAAATATGAATAATCTAATTTGTCCTAGAAATTATGTTAATTGAATAAACTATTGTCCTCTCTCCTCCTGACAGCCATCGCGATTCAGTTACAGTTCCGCTTTGAAATTATGCACGTTTATTGTTGGTTAATTAGGAAAAATGAAATTCGCCACCGCTTTACCGTCTATCAAATGTTCTCTGCTTAATCTATCTTTCTGCCTTGTGGGTTGCGGTTTTTGAATACGGGCTTTTAGAACCCATAATCCATCCCTTTTACATCTGCAAATCTGATAGGAATCTCCGCAGCCGGATTACCAATTGAGTTAATCACTAACTGAGAACAAGACCAAGGCTCTCTCCTTTTCACGATACTCAAACACAACCTTATTTCATGGGCCACAATGGTCAGTTTGTTTTGTAATAAATATTGTGTATTTTCAGATTTAAATTATAAATGGAAGTTTACCATAACACTTGATTTATAAACCCCTTACAAACCATGTAACTTCGAATTGTCAGAAGATTAGGCTCTTCTATGAAGTTGTATGTTGTATGTTGTTGTTTGTATGTATGTTCCAGTTTTGTATAGTTTTGATAATCTTAAACACGTAACCTCGACCTTACTATTATTTACATATAAGCGGTCATTTGTTAAAAACTAAAGTTTAGTTACAAATGTAGGTGTTATTTGGAATTTATTTTATATAAATTTATTTATATAAACATATAACCATGAATTTTAACGATTCTAAATATTCTGATGTACAGTTAATTATGTTTAAAATATATATTATGGGTTTTATAAATCTTAGTTTTCCTGAGTAGCAGTTACATTTAAAAATTAACCGGATAAAAACATTAATTTATGTTGGTATTACAAGCAGTTAATTTGACTAAAATTGAGTTCTAGGTCAAATGGTTTTTTGACAATTTAGGGAGGTCTTTATCGGGATCATCTTCAGGGCCTGTGATTTATAAACATTGTTTAAATTTTACAAATACATGTAGTATGTGAAAAAATGAATTTGTACAATACTAGAAAATTTTAGATTCAAAAAAATGAATTTATATAATGCTAGAAAATTTTAGATTCAATCAAATTTTTATTATCATTCTTTGTAACAACTGTCAGTAATAAATATTGTGTCTTTGATTTGCAAATTGACCTGTTCAAATCTATTTAATTATGTACAAAAAGTGGGCCATTT